CATGTTGTCCCTTCTCCAGCATCTATACCCCTCCCTGTCTCGAGACCGCCCACCCCACCAGTACGCCCTCCTACTCCACCGCCTGCTCCTGCGCGCCCTCCTTCTCCACCAGTCAGGCAGTCTGGGCGTGTCAGGAAGGCTCCAGAGCGCTATGGTAATTGGGCAAAATCTTCTACTGTCCCTCCTGATGATATCGACACCCCAAAGACTTGGCGCCAACTCCAGAAATCCCCGCACAAGGCAAAGTGGCTTCAAGCTGCGGATGAGGAGTTCTCTTCCCTTCTCGGTATGGACACATGGAAACTGGTCCCCCGGCCGTCAAAACGAAGGATCATCAAGTCGAAGTGGGTCTTCAAGGTGAAACGTCGCCCTGACAAGTCTATTCTAAAGTTGAAAGCGCGACTAGTTGCTATGGGGTACTCACAAGTGCGAGGCGTGGATTATCATGAAGTTTTTGCGCCCACTCTACGTCTCGAAACGCTTAGGCTTATCTGCAGCCTCCTGGCATCAAAGTCTTGGAAGGGTCAACAAGTGGACTTCAAAACCGCGTTCCTTAACGGCCACCTCGATCAACCTATCTTCATGGAGCAGCCTCCCGGGTTCGAAGATCCAAATCATCCTGATTTTGTCTGTGAGGTTCACAGGTCAATCTACGGTCTTAAGCAAGCGCCTCGTCAATGGAATCGGGAACTCCATCAAGCACTTCTTGACTCTGGCCTCACTCAGTCCAAATACGATCCTACCCTCTACTTCAACGTTCAAAATGGAAAACTCTTGGGAGCTATAGCGGTCCACGTTGATGATCTTGCATGTGGGAAGATCCTTGTGATTCAATCATTTCCAGTCTTGGTGCAAAATTCAAGATTGGGGCGGATGAAGATCTTCATCACTTCTTTCAATCAAAATCACTCGAGACCGTCAAGAAAAACTCCTCTATATGTCTCAAGGCCATTACGTCGATGACATGGTCTCTCGGTTCCTCAACGGTACACACACGGCTACCAAGACGCCTACCTCCTCTCTCTTCAAAGATCTTGTCAGAAAAACCGCAGATGAAGACCCTTCACCTGGTCCCTACGGACAGCTCATTGGTTCCCTTCTATGGATTGCTCAGTGTACGCGCCCGGATGTCTCCTTTGCTGTTAACAAGCTATCCCAATTCCTTCGAGATCCCTCTTCCTCTCACTGGGCTGCCGCAGTTAAGGTTCTTAACTATCTAGCCTCGACCAAATCTCTTCGTCTACGTCTGGGTGGTCCTCTTACTTGTGCAGGCTACTCTGACGCAGACTGGGCCGAAGACCGTCAAGATCGTCGTTCAACCTCAGCCTACACTTTCCGATTTGGTGACGGGGCTATCTCTTGGAAATCTCGCAAACAGGCCACAGTGTCTCTTTCCAGCACCGAAGCAGAATACAAGGCATTGGCTGATTCTTGCAAAGAGGGTCTCTGGCTACGTAATATACTCACCGAATTATCAATTCGACCTAAGTCAGCTCTTCCTCTCCATGTCGACAATGAAGGTGCAGAAGCTCTCGCAAACAATCCGGAACACCACGCCAGGACAAAACATATTGATGCAAGATATCATTTTGTACGCGACTGCGTCAAAGATGATATTTTCAAGATCGTGCACGTCTCCACACACGACATGCTAGCCGACATGCTCACCAAACCTCTCGCTCGTGTATTGTTGGAGAAACATCGTCTCATGTTTGGCCTTATTTAATTTTCTCTCTCTCTCTTATCTCTATTATTCTTTCAACTCCTTCTCTTATTTCTTTCACTCAAGTCAGTCATCAGCAAGGGGGGGTGTTGAGATACCGTGACATGTTCACAGTTGTCAGTGTGCTTTCTTTCTTCCTTCATTTCACTCATCTCTCTCATGTCACAGAGTGTGACATCTTGTTGTCTTTCCTCAGCTCATATACTGGAGCCAAGTGTGTCTGGGAGGATTCTCTTTTCCTCATCCTTTCCAACATACTTGTCTCCAGGTATAGTCATCTTTTTCTTTTCTCCTGTCATGTTGAAATGAACTCATCCTTTCCAACATACTTGTCTCCAGGGTGTTCATCTCAACACAGCTTCGTTCGGGGAGGGGTTCCTCCCAGCAAGCTGACCTGTAGACGCTCTCCGGGAGGAATACCTCCCGGCAAGCTGGGTTTTAAACCAGCTCGTCGGAAGGGATTCCTTCTGGCGAGCTGGTACACAATCCAGCTCGCTGGGA